AAAGTCATTTTAAATAACATGATAACCAAGTAACGAAAAGGAAATTATATTTTCTTAAATATTTCATTAAAAATAACTTTGTGAGATGTTATATTGGTAGTAATCCCCAGTAAATGCTCAGCTTGTGCAGAGTGAAAAAGAAGAAGAAAATACTCTTTAAGTGATAATAAACTAGACAAGAATAGCTTTTATGTCACAAAAATCCGTTTGATTTTATAAAGCTTCATTTTAAAGTCATTTGAGAAGAAATATATTTTCTAATGTTATTATTGGCTAATATTCAGTTACTTTAAGTTTAGTTTAAATTTAATATTTATTCATTTAATTAAAAACAAAACAATTATATACAATAGAAGAAAACATACAAATAAATAAAATGAAAGGCAGCAGAAAGAAGAAAAAAATCTTATAGTATCTGCCAAGAATACATTTATTTAAAATGATGATATGAGAAATCAGGTATATCTTCAGTGTTTTATTTTAGGTAAAGTGAAATTTCACAGTGAAATTTGAATTATTAAATTGCTCTTACTCCTATTAGGGATTATTGCTAATCCCTGTCAGTAAATCTGCTAAATCCCCCGTTTGAATGTGGAAAATCTTCAGTAAAAGCAAAAGTGAATCCCATTACAGCTCCAGTATAATGTGTTCATTTAAAAATGACATATTCCATAGACACACTGCCTTTATGTACTTTGGAGCTTACTGAACTGATTTTAACTTTTAGTGGGGAACGGGTCAGACAGAAAAATCTCAGTTTCCCTTTCAGGCCTCGCCAACTCAGCAACCTAAGAATAGCAACGCAGGGCATTTAGGTGGCTGAGCCGCTTTGTTCACATTGACAGGAAACATGTGATCCCTCAGCAAAGCCACCTGGATAGTTATGAATTATCACCCTGACCCAAAAGACAGCATGCAGAGAAAGAGAGAGAGAGAGAGCAGATTTAAACCTATTATGTTAAATGATATGCAACTTTTAAAATATAGAATCTATAAAGTATGGAGGAAAATGTATATTTAGTCATACTCTATAGCAACAATGTGGGATAGAAAGCTATTTTATTGAACAAGTAAACATTCTGGAGAACAAAACATTTACCACTTTGCTGCACCGCACCTGGATTTTATAAAAAATAAATAAATGTTTCTGGATGTATAATGTGTTTAGAAGGTAAACAGGAAGAACAGAATCTGTAAAATGAAGGACCCGATTCTCTGCTTCTGCACTGTTACGTGTTCATTTCCTGGCAGCGGACTCTTGTGTCGTCTGTAAAACCGCAGCGCTGGCATGTCACATAAATGAGACAGAAGCAGCAGAATGCAGCTGCGGTGAGTTTGCTTCAGGCGCCGCGTCCACCTTGGCGTCCATCACAGGTCACGGATCAACACATTAACCTGCTGGTGGCTGCAACACTCCCTCTGCTCATGTTGCATTTCTGAGGGAAGAGGTCAGAAAAATAATGCTTCCGGATCCATGTTTTAATCTGTTAAACCTCAAACATCCAGCGTAGCGTTTACTAATCCCAACTAATCCAGTTAAAACTTGTGTCTTTAATATTGTTACTGTTTGTGCCTGTGAGCCCCTTTCACTTCAGTGAGCTGGATGGTAATTAAGCAAAAACAAAAGGCTTGTTTGTTTGTTTGTTTGTTTGTTTGTTTTTGTTATAATTGCCATGGTGTTATAATTTAAGGCATGTGAATGTGGCACAATCACGAATCTGATCAGGGACTCTGTGGGTTGGAGGGAAGATGAGAGAGAAGGTAAGCTAACTGTAGCATCGTACTTTCAGCTCAGCAAATAAACGGATGTTAACATGCAGGACCTCGCAGACCACAGTTTGAGAAAGACTGCTCTGGAGTCACAAAGAAATGGTGCAACATGTTTTGACCTTTCCTTTGCTAAAACATCATCACTCACAAACAGAGCACCGCCTCTGAAACCACATTTCCCTTCGTTAAATCAAACTGCTGCTCACTGATTGTCCCTTCTCTTCTTAACCTTCATAAGGCTTCATTAACTCCTTCCCGTGTCTTCAAGGCTCATCAGCTTCATTCCTCTGCAGTTGCTACAATACTGCATCACCCCTGTTCTTAAAGACAGGTTGTGCTTTAAAGCAGGTATCACAATTCAAAGCTGAAAAAAAAAAAGAAAATTTGCACAGAAGACAAATGACAACCAATTAACTTTAAAGAACATAACTCTTCTAGTCACGGCTCTCAGACTTTGACAGAGTTTTGAAAACTTTAAATTGTTCTACCGGCTATCCGTACTCCTTTGGACGCTCAGAAAAGACAAGCGTGGAATAGATTGCCGTAATTACACAGTTACATAAGCTTTGCAATGTCATTTGAATCAATCCAGGCAGATAAATCAGGCTAACAGCCTTAGCTGCTCATACATGCTCCTCTGTAGAGATTCAAGACGCTAAAATCTTCACTCAAGTCTTTCTGTTTTCCAGTAGTGCGCTTTATGATGAAGAGTGCGTTAAGATGATGGAATGAGCACAGCGAGGCGATCCGGTGGGTCGGTTATGGTCTGCAGGAGCATTTCGTTGGGGTCCGTTGGGTGCACTCATGCCTGTAATTGGAGAGAAAAAACTGTTGCTTTAAATGATTTCTACTGTTTTCCACTTGTGGTTTTCTTTGCAGGATGGGATTTGTTTTACTATACAGAAGCAATATTGTCCAAATGATCGCTGAAGTAAATGGAGTAAATGATGTGAAATTGATGCTTTGGTCCCAGAGAAATGCTTGCAGTCATTGACGGAGAGGTGTAGCTCTTTGCAAACGATTTGTTTTATCCCTTCAGAAGGATTACACCAACACTGACACTATCTGCGTTTCCATTGACAATGTAATTGCGTAAAGTGAAATTACGGGGGTAAAAATGGCGTCAATTTCAACAAAGCTCACGTTTCTCTTTAAAAACGTTTTGCTCTAGAATGAGGTTGTTTTTCAACAATCGGCTGTTACGAAGAAGATGACAGGAAGTGGTAGGAACATGACAGTGCGACATGATTTTAATGACATATCGCTTAAACAAACTGATTCACATGTGATTTTAATTGTGTTTCTTATTTAATGGGAACACCACAAATGCAGAATTCAGTTTTTTCAACATTAATGAAATCTCAACAAGGTTTTGCGAACATTTGTAATGGAAATGCAGTTCAGGTCAAGGTGGCTCAAATCTCTGGTGTTGGTAGGATCCTACACAAGAAAAGCAGAGTAAAGGTTTTTAGTACCCAGAGGCACCATGAGGTGTTGGATGTTTCCAGAAAGACACAAAGGCCCAATTCTGAGGCGTTAAATCACAAAGTCAAATTTCTTGTATAAGTCATATTTGACATATAACAACTGAAGGTAACATAGTTACTTCATTGTGCTAAAAAAATGTTGCTATGTATCTGGAAAACATATAAATCTGCCCCTTTAAATAATAAGTATCATTATTGGTATCGGCGATACTGATTCCTGTATTTACTTGGAATCAGATTGATGCCAAATATGCGCTACCACACACCTCTAATGGACACTGCCAGGTGTCCTTTAACCTGTCATTCACGAGAGGACCCAAATTTGGGTGACAGGTTAACCCAGGGGTGTCAAACTCCAGTCCTCAAGGGCCGCTGTCCTGCAACTTTTAGATGTGCCTCTGCTGCACCACACCTGAAAAGAATAATTAGGTCATTAGCAAGGCTCAGGAGAACCGATCTACACAGGGAGGAGGTAATTAAGCCATTTCATTCCACTGTTTTTTACATGTGGCACATCTAAACACTGCAGGACAGCGGCCCTTGAGGACTGGAGTTTGACACCCATTGTGAATGACAACCTGTGAATGACAGGTTAAGAGATCCTCCTCCAAACAAACACCAGGATTTTCCAGAACCCCGTACCTAAAAGAAGCATCTACACTGCAGACCTGCCAGCATCAGTAGAGCCTGCTTCCTGCAGCTATTAGATTCATTACACAGGACATTAAGGAGGGAAAGAAGTACCAGACACCATCATCTAATTCACTGACAGTTTAATGTATTACCGACACCTGGATGTCCACCTCCCAAATCTTCTTATAATTGCTTTCATGTGTTTAGTTGCTGCACAGAGCACGCAGGGCAATCTCCCCTCTTCTTAATCTGCAGCTTTGGAAATGCTCAGAAAACTTTTTTATGCATACACACACACATTTAATCCCACAGACTGTCACAGTGCAATGTTTATGCCTGTTAAGCTCTTTGATGGGTTGTTTATTTAAATGCATGTCAATGCTGAGTAATTCGCTCCAAAGTAATGATCTTTTCTTGCTAGTTCCTGCTCAACCAGAACGATTAAGCTAACAGAAAACTCCTCTGTCTCTTCTTTACACATACAGCAAGAATGGACTCTGCAGAAATGTTATGAAACTATGTCCTGAAACAATTAACGGATTAATTGTGATTAATCAATTAATCATCAATCATTAACTAGAATATAAAGATTAGAAATATATACAACTGGGTGAAAAATGCAACATATTAAAACCAGTAATTAAACCAAACCTGTACAAAAATATTTACACTTTGCATTTAAGATTCATTGTCTGTAAATATGTTTCACCCAGAATTTCTCAAGTGAATAATAATCTGTAAGTAATGCTTTTGTACTGCATTTTTGGAAAATCATAAAATAAAAAGAAACTGGACTTTTAATGTATTTCTAATATTGTAATAAAAAGGCTTATTAAATGAAAAATATGTAGAATTAGCCATTTTTTCATCTGATTAATCGATTTATCGTCAGAATAATCTATAGAATAACCGTTTGTTAAAATAATCACTAGTTGCAACCCAAGTAATTTGGAGACAAAAACAAAATATTATTAATAATAAAACATAATTTAAAAAAAAACCTATTACAAACTTATATTTTATGCCTTTATTTCTGCTCATTTTAATAAAATATTACAAATTAGAATATTACATCAGACTAATAAATATTTGATGGTTTGATGAAAAGTGTTTTTAATACCTGCTTAAAGGTCATTTTCAAAAGATACTTTTATTCTGAAAATCGGTCCATTTGAACACATATTCAAACTTATAGAGATTTACCCATAAATACCTGGATCCAGTTCAGAACAAAGTTTTTTTTTTTTTTTTAATCCAGTAAAGATCAGTGTATGTCTACCAAAGTCATCATATAGTGAGCTTAAACTCGGTTGACTCGACTACCAAGAAGAAAATGTGAGTTTATTATCAGCAGATAACGACCTGGGATTCCAGCCTCAACATGTGTGAACAGAAAGAGCTGACTTGCCTCACTGCAGTTGGTCGACCTGATGAGCTGAGGTTAGCAACATTGGCCCCAGCAGAGTCCCCAAGGTAAATTTATCGCTCTCCGGTTCGTGGCTTCCTGCCAGGGAGTTTGGGCCACGCTGAGGAGGAGACGTTCCTCTGCAGAAGAGAGATTTTAGTCCTGAGGGGCCTTGTGATGTTGTCCCAAATGGTTTTAAAGTCATTCTGGAGGTGTATTCTGTTGTTTTGAATAAGATAAAGAAGAAGAGGAGGGCAGATGTCCACCTGTTGGGAAAACACAACATCTTACCAAGTAAACTTTTTTAGATTCTAGTGCAAATATCTTGAAATAAGACAAAACTAACTTATCTGTAACCTTTCGGTAAGCTATGAGAGCTTGTTTAAAGTCAATAATTCCTTAATAGTAATGAAAAAACTACTACATACTTTGCCAGATTATTTCACTTATAGTAAGACATTTTTCCTATGTTACAAGCGAAATTATCTGCCAATGGAACTAGAACCTTTTCACCATTATGAATGAGTTATTGACTTAAAACAGGCCTCTACATCCGAAAAGTTACCTGTAAATTAGCTTTCTTTTACTTCTAGGGAACTAAGATATTTGTAGTAGAACTAGACCAAAACTACTTGGTAAGATTTTGTGTTTTTCCGAACGGAAAATATGAAGCAGTGAGTTTGGAAACTGAATGTGTAGTAGTTACATTAGACCACTAGAGGGCTCTGTGACTCCATGTTTATAAAACCATCCAGCGACCTCCTGCTGTGCGATTCACTAATTGCATTTAGAAAAGTGCTTCAAAAATTGTTGTAAAGCTTTTTTTATAGAATGGATTAATCCATTTTTATCATTATTGTTAAATTTTATTTTTCAGGCAACATGGCTCCTGTGTTTAGATCCATGATTCTGCTGCTGCTGCTGCTCTCCTGCTGGCAACCTGCTGGAGCCAAAGAAGGAAAATCCACCAAAAAAGGAAAGAAAGGAAAGCAAGTTGTCTGTCCATCGTAAGTAAAAATAATTAAAAAAAAAAAAGGTTTGTCTATCAAAATTGAGCAAAAATAATACATGAAAACAAATTTAAAGGTCCGAACAACTGTGTGAAATTTTTATTGAAGTTTTATTGAAGTTATTGAGGTTTTTTTTTTTTTTTTTTTTTTTTTTGCTTTTCAAAGAACCATTATAAAATTGGGTCTGGCACTCAAAACTCAGTGGACAAACTCCCGCTTTCTAACGTATCATCTTAAACCAGCTCTAAAAGAGTTCAGACTTATGTGGTCATTCAGATTATTGGTCAAAAATATAAGAAAACCAAACTGAAATCAAAATTCTTTGATCAGAAATACAGAAGAATGCTTGAAAAAATCCTTTCTACATCATTTGAGTTAGATCACTTTGATTCAAATTAAAAAATAATTCAGTTTAAATGGGAATAAAACACAGCGTTCAATCATGTAATGGCTGTGTTGTCATAATTCTAACTTTGTAGAATTATTACATTTTCAATAATTCTACAAAATAATACCAGGCATTTATAATCACAGATATAAGATGGCTAAAGGAAAATTACAGTCAGGAAAAATCTTAAAATGGAGAATTGATGGACTTTAAAAGAACAACAAGACATAAAGGCCTTCAGCTGCGTTATGGTTAGGAGCCGTCTGACCATCTGTGTGATCACAGGTTTTATTTCCACAGTTTTCTTCCCTGATGACACAGGGTTCTTCCAAATTACAAAACCAGGACTCATGATGATCAAGCTAACAGAGGCTCTGGCAGCGTTGAATGGATTTGTCAACACAGAGCTTAATCCTTAATCCCCCTGAGAATATTTGGGATGTGGAGGAGAAGAGTTTACACAGCCCAAAGCCCCGTCCTCGGTACAGAGTCTGACAAAAAGGAAACTGCCGACGGATCTAAAATGTTATTATAACAATGATCAAAGTCTTAGTGGGAAACTTTTCGTTGTATGTTTAACTTTATTACTTGTACCTGTACAGAACAAACCGTGGTTAAAAACATTTCATTTGTAACACAGTGATGGTTTGTCCTGTTTTTTAATCTGTTGTGAAATCCGACTTTCCCAGTAGGAAGCAGGAAATTCCCAGTTCTGAGTACAACTGGAGTACTGCTTTAGGCTTCTGGAAACCAGTCAAACATTTTCCTTTTTTTACTGGATGTGCCACATTCCCCATCTCACCAAAAGTGGTTTTCTGTTTTTCCCATGTAAACTGGGTCGGTTTAGATAATATTGCATTATTTCAAATGCAATAACTTTAATTGGTAAGGGTTTAATTTTCAGCTCCTGTTTCGATCTAATCATGCAGCCTTGTTCTCTTTTTAACAGACAGCTGTCACAGGAGGACTTAGCCCAGGTTCCAGCTAACTCCACCTCCAACATTTTGAATCGCCTGATGGTCAGTTATGACCCAAGAATAAGGCCCAACTTTCAAGGTAATGCAGAAATGTTCACAAAGGCACAAACTTAAACTTATTTTGTTAAACTGAATCAGAATAATAAAGAACGACTCCCAATTTTTGGCTAAATTGTTAACAACGGTTCCTATTCGGGACAATTAGAAATAAAATGGACAATCTAACTGTAAACAAAAATAACTAAAAGTAGAAATGTTTTGAGCTGTGAGGAATCATTTTTCACTGAGGTTGAAGGTTGTATTTGGAAATAATGTCACATCAGAAAATCAACCAGCAGCAATTCAGGCCCAACAATGAACATCAGTGTCATAAATCTGTTCAACACGTCCGAAGCATTCTGGTTCTGACCTTAGAGCACAAATGCAATTCAACATGACTTCACACACACCAATACCAGAAATAACAGATTTAGTTGTATCTTAAAGCAGAGACTGCGTTTTGTTTGGAACATTTGCATGAAATAATCTTACAGAAGTTACTTATTCACTGCAAAAACACAAAGTATTTTTGGTCTAGTTTCTGATGCAAATATCTTAGCACATTTGAAATAAGGCAGAAATTATTTACAAGTAACTTTTCAGAAAGAATTATGAGCTTGTTTTAAGCAAATAATTCATTAATATTGATGAAAAAAGTGTAGGTTTCATTGGCAGATTATTTCACAAGACATGTTTTCCCATGTTAAAGTGAAATAAACTTCCAGTATGACATTTTCACAAATATTTTTGATTTTAAAACAAGCTAATTTTTCTTGCTGAACTTGCAAGTTATTTTTGTCTTATTTCAATAGTACTAAGATATTTGCAGTAAATATCTTCTACTGCTTGGTAAGATTTTGTGCTTTTGCAGTGCTGAGAACCAGTAACTCTGCATTTACTCGTTAATCTGCGATATTCCTGTTGCTTTATTCCAGGAATCCCAGTCGAGTCCAGGGTGAACATCTTCATCAACAGCTTTGGCTCCATCCAGGAGACGACCATGGTGATTCCACTTGCAGTTTCTTTTTTAGTGTCGCTGAAATTATGCCGCACTAAAAAAAAATCAGTCCCAACACATTAACCATAGCTGATCAAATGGGCCCTTTATTTTTCTACATAGTTAATAAATCTTGTAATATTTGATCTGCACAAAAACAATTTATTTCCTGCCTCTGTTCAAGTCCAGAGAAATTTGTCTTCTTTCATCTTTATCTTGTTTTCACCAGAGACCCACAACATTAAGGACCGAAAAGCTGATCGGTTCGAAATTCATTTTCAACTAATTAAAAAATGAATATTAGAGATGTGAGGGTACTTTTTATTTACAGAATTCAATATTAGACAGATTACAAAGTTTTAACAAGACTCAGTAATATATTATTCTTTAAAGTTAAATAAATGGACATTATTGCTTGGTAGTGATTTAGTACCTCATTTAAGAACTTTACTGTATTTTTATTTTGATCATTAATTACAGGAGTCATGTTAATTATTAAAGATTTTAAGAATCAAATACAACACTATAAAAATACAGTATATTCATTAATGTATTCCTAAAAGATATTAATATGTTATCAAAAGCAAAATAGGGGAAAAAACATTTTATTCCTTTTATTAATCAAGTTTAATATTCATATTCACAAAATAAATAATTTAAATCTAAGATTTCTGTATCTAAATTTGAAACACTGGTAATAGAGGTGTGGTGAGAATCCAAACTAAATGAGAATGTTTTCTACCCAGGACTACAGAGTGAATATATTTCTTCGTCAGAGATGGAACGACCCTCGTCTTCGACTGCCTACTGACTTTAAAAGTGAAGCGCTGACTGTTGATCCCAAAATGTTCCAGTGTTTGTGGAAACCAGACCTGTTTTTTGCCAATGAAAAAAATGCAAACTTTCACGATGTCACACAGGACAACATTCTTCTCTTCATATTCAGGAACGGAGATGTCTTAATCAGCATGAGGTATCCAGCCACGTCTTCTGACATTACGCCACAACATCCACACGCTCCGAACGGTCGAACAATTTGAAAATGATGATGCGTTTAATGCATGTGCACAGGCACCATGTCAGACATCCAACACAAAAAAAATCATTTTAACTCTGAGAACAGACTGAGAAATGCAACAAAAAGGAGCAAAAAGCAGAAAATAAACCAAAAACATTCATGTTTGTAGATTTTGGTGGAACTGATTTGCAATCCTGAAGTTTTAAATCTCTACCTGCACTATGCATGTATTGAAATATTCAGAAGATTCATAACTGAAACTCTCTGTGTGGCTAATTTAATAACATCAAAAATGAAAATGAACAGTTAAGTACTGGAACTCTTTACATTTTGTGCTGATGTTGGATTTTGAGGTCTGAGTCGGTGAAAAACTTTTGAGTTTTGGAGGCAGTCTTCCTGTTGCACTGGGTCTTCCAGCTGATCTTTCTGACTTGGATCATGGAAATTTGAAATTAGAAAATCAAAATATGCATATATGCCTAACGAATGAATACAAATGAATGAATGTGATTAATTAAAATACAACATGTATGCTATCAATAAAAATCTGCTGTTTCTTTTATCTTGTCATTTAAAATATCGAAATTCTACAAATTAAATTGTAGAAGTTAATCTTTGAAAATGTTAAGTCTGTTTCTTGGTGTCTAATTACTATCTGGCAATAAGAAATATGATGAAAATGGGAAGCTGTAATGTCAGTGGAAGCCGTGGAAGCTCATATTACTCCTCTGGATTCTCTCTAAAAGCTATAAATGTTATTTTAAAATGATGCTAAATGATTCATAATGGTTGTTCACCCGGATGTGTTGTGCATGTACTTATATGCAGACTTTCAGTGACTCTGTCTTGTCCCCTGGACCTCACACTCTTCCCTATGGACACACAGTTCTGTAAGATGCAGCTGGAGAGCTGTGAGTAGAAACATGCAGTGCTGACATGCACACTAAATATAAATATATGCACATAAACTAAGTCTGTTTGCATGTTTTAGTTGGCTACACCACCAGTGATCTGGTGTTCATGTGGCAGTCGGACCCGGTTCAGATGGATGAGATCGCTCTCCCTCAGTTTGACATCAAACAAGAAGACATAAAGTATGGAAACTGTACAAAGTACTACCAAGGAACGGGTTCGTAATCCTCATTTATCACTTTCAGTAACTCTGTGCAAATATACAGTGCATCCAGATATTGTTCGCAGTGCTTCATGTTTTCCTAATTTTATGTTAGAGACTGAATTGTACTAAATTAATGTCTTTAATAGAAATTCTACACAAATATTCCATTATAATAATGTGGAAATTGATTTAATTTGTATTTAAAACAGAAAACCATCTGCAGAGTGAAGAACTCCTGAGTATGTGGGAGAGTTTAGTTTTGATAGTGAAGATAATGTGGTGAAAACCTCAGTGGCTTTGCATTTTATAGGTCATGCAAAGGTCAAACTCACAACGGTGCATTAAGGCCACTGTCCATAGAAAAGAAAAAAAACGAGTACATTTCTGCCAAAAAGGACATTTCTGAGCTCTGAAATTCTGAGATTAAACAATTTTTCCAATTTTTCAGAAAAAACTTGTACATTTCTGAGTCAAAAAGTTTCAACTTTTGAAACTCAGAAATGTCCTTGTTTTTTTAGAAAATTTCTGAGATTAATCTCAAAATTTCGGAGTATTTTCTATCAAATTTTTAACTTTTCAAAAGCAGAAATTTCACATTTTTTCCAGGAAATTTCTATATTTCCTATATTTTCTACCTACATTAACCCCAATACGCCATCGTACAAACTAAACTCTTGCTGAGTAAATACTGCATGTTAAAATATGATTTGTGTAAACTGAATCTTCTGAAATGTATTGCTAAGGCCAAGAACTATAATAAAACTTAAAGTGCAGTCAGACACAACAGGTTCTGCAGACCGTTTGTGTTTTCAAACTTACACACTCGCAGCGTGTTGCTTGTGTGGGCGTGAGACATTATTAGCATCAGATGTTTTGTAGAAATGCCTTTTTCCCCACTGAGCGCTCCGGCATTGTCACTGTGCCTTTCTGTTTCAGGGAGTTGTTGCTATAGAAACAGGAATCCTAATTTGGCTGACTTGACTATTGCAAAGAAATAAATAAAAAAAATGCTGCTTGTATTTTACTGGAACTCTGAGCTAAAAATAATGCAATGCTGCAACAGTGCAAACACACTTTCTGAAATAATCCCTGCTGAAGCTCATATGCAAACATTTTTATCATTTTAACTCAGAGTTTATAAAGAGTAACAACAGCAGATTTAACTAATGTGACGCTGCATTTTTATGATTTTCTTCCAGGGTACTACACCTGTGTTGAGGTGATTTTCATGCTGCGTCGACAGGTTGGATTCTACCTGATGGGAGTTTATGCTCCGACTCTGCTGCTTGTTGTTTTGTCCTGGTTGTCATTCTGGATCAACCCAGACGCTTCAGCTGCACGGGTGCCACTTGGTGAGCACAAACACACATATGTGTTGTGTTCATTGATCCATTTCCAAACCTATTATACTTACTGATGTAAAAACGTACCTTCCAACTCACACGCCGTATAAAGTCGAAATAAACAAATCGTAAATCATAAAATCATGTTGTCAGTACAAAGCAGAATTCACACCAATCAGGTATAACATTGTGATGGATGTAATGAAGTACACTGATTACCACATATCAGTGGTAACCTGGCATATATTAAAGGAGATATGTTATGCAAAATTCACATTTTGTATGTTTTTGTACTTGTACTTGGATTTCTAATGGTTCTAAAAACAGCCCAAGTGCTTAAAAAATCTCCCAACAAGTTTTGGCAGTAAGTTTATGTTTTTTGGTGTCTGGAAAATGGGCCGTTTCAAAAACCTCCAGAATATAATGAGTAACAACACAAATCAGCAAGCAGTGACCGTTAGCTAGCAACCCTGGGAAGCCCAGGTAACGACCTGGCAACTCCCAGCAATCCACAGAGGAACTCATTTGGATTTAAAGTGACAAGACACCCTAAAACAGCTCATTCCAAAAGGAAATCCAAACTGAACAGATTAAAATTTCATTATCTAAAATGATTTAGTGCAAAAACTGTAATGAACGTGTTTTGTATAGCCCATAGACCTTTCCTAACCTGTTCAAGGAAGCATAATCGGTCACATTTAAGCAAAAAAAAAAGTATTTATGTCTTTGAACTTCTTTTCAGTCTTCCCAGAGAATATTTCAGTTTAATTACTAATAAAACTTTGATATAATGGCCATACCCAGTCATAAAGATGTAGTTTGAGCAGCTTGCCTCGACCGGCCGTGTGGAGTGGAGAGTAGGATGTTTCGGCTGCTCGCCGCCCTGGTAAAGATTCGCTGGTTCCTACGGATAGCAGTGAGGTTTGCTTCCTGTGAAGGAGACAAGGACTATATTGTCACTGGTAGCTGGTGGTGTCTTCATCACTTTAATGGCTTTAGCAGAAAAAATAACTAAGATTATAAATTAATGTTATCCCAACAGCCAAACAGTCCAGTACCTCAATGCTTATGGCATATATTTAACAACGTTTAAGACTTTATTTTTATAAATTAATCATCCTTAGCCATGAATGCTTTAATCATGAAAGCTATGACAGGAACTTATTACACAGATGAAAATGAGTCATTTGTTAAAGTCATTGTAAGTCTGATGTATCACGCTGAGAGATGAGAGTGCTAAAAATACTTTTTCTCCTTTTGTCTTTTCCTTTGAATAATTGTTGTAGAGCAAGGGTTACAGAAAAGATAACTCTGATCTGATAAAATATATGTTTCTGTTGCCGTCTGCTTATTTCCAGGTATTTTATCAGTTCTCTCTCTGTCCAGTGAGAGCATGTCCTTGGCTTCAGAGCTGCCAAAAGTCTCATACGTAAAGGCCATTGATATATGGCTGATCGCCTGCCTGCTCTTTGGGTTTTTCTCCCTGGTGGAATATGCTGTGGTGCAGGTCGGTTCTAAGACACACACACACACACACACACACACACACACACACACACACACACACACACACACACACCCAAAGAAACTCTGAGGAAGAAAGAAACTTCAATAAATTAATAAATCTATATATTCAAATCTAAGTTGGAGACCTGAACAATCCTGAATGGATTTCAAGGTATAAAAAATTACAAATAATGAATAAAGTCAGAACAGCAGGACCTGTGCAGGGTTCTGTCTTAAAGTAATCCACAACAAGTTGAACATGTTAGCCTAAATACGTTGTTCTTTGTAGGACTCATTCTTACGTATGAGTATAAACTCATACTTACATCAAAAATTGTTTGTGTTTATTATATGTGGCCATTTTTTCACCTGTGCAGGTAAGTTTTAGTGGAGTCGAGCCTAAAAACAAAAAACAAAATGAAAAACGTAGAAGGTGATGAGAACAACCTTAAAAGTTTGGATGAAGCAAACTGCCTCAAGGTTTCACATGTCATTATTTACCAGATATCAGCGCTAGCTGGCGCTAGCACCATTAGCAGGAGCTAACAGGAAATAAAAACAAATCGCAAGAAAATGAATGTATATTTAAAGTGACAATGAAGTATTTTTACGTCATTGTGACAGATTATATTTCAGAAAATGAGTTAAGAAACTGGAGCTCTTAGCAGTATTGCTACACCCATATTGCTGCACCCATTTCCAAGCAGCAGCTGCTCAAACACCTGATTTTTGGCTGAATATGTCCTCTTCATCCATTTGCTTCTCCTTATTTTCATTTCTTCTTGTCATTTCTGCATTGCCTTAAATTTCAATGTGCTCCAGTTCAAATTGAAAGGGATAAATGTTACTTATTGTGTAAAAATTACTGTTGTGGCAGGTCAGAGCTAGCACTGTAGCACGTAGCATTTGACGTCTACCCAGGACGCATTTAAGCCGACGTCCGTGTAACAATATTTTATTTAAATGTATAAAAAAAACTAATCACCCTACAGTTTTTCACTATATTGTTGTTGCATTTGAAATAAATGCTTCTTGATACAGCTAGTCATGGATCCCTGTACAGATCACACAGGCTCTTCTAACCACACTTCTTTCTTTCTATGTAGGTTTTTCTCAACAGTCCCAAACTGATTGAAGAGGAGAAAGCAAAAATGGCCACAAAGGAAAAAGCTTTGAAAGAAAAGGAAGCAAAGAAGCCTTCAAATAAATCAAACAACACAGTCAATGGGACAGGTGGAACGCCCATTCATGTCAACACTTTACAGGTGAAGGCAACCTGCAGAGAAGCTGCAATTATATACAGAAAATCTACTGCAAAACATAATAAAATTGCTTTTACCTGAAACAGAAATACAATTGTTTCTTATGCAGCTAAAAAATACCATTTTGAAAATTATTTTAATATAATTCCTGACATGGATTTATTATTTCAAATCACATACAGTAAACACCTAATAAATTTAGTCACAGTTTTCACATGTTGTAATGCAATGTGGTGATGCTGCAAGAATGTTTAAAAGCAAAACAAATCAAGTTTTAAAAGGAGGCAGTTTCATTGGATTACATTTTATATAATGGGATGTGTAGGAAAAAAGTAACCAAGTAATTAAGTAAGCACTTTGCTTTGTTGCTGAAAATGTGCTATATAAATAAAATTACCTTTATCTTTAGTAAAGCAACTGGATTACTCTTAATATTTAAAAACTACATTGTCTGATAGACCAAAATATCAAGTTAAGTGGATTTTTTTATTTATTTAAATGACCAAATTGACAATAATTCGTATAAACAACAAAAAATAACAAAAGCAGGTAAAAGAAACATTTCTCTAAATCAGTTTCTTTCAATAAAACACTTATAAAACTTTAACAAAAGCTGCAGGTGTGTGTCTGCGTCTGGTGAATTTTTGGTTTTTTAGTCAATCCATAACTTTTACTCAAGCAAGAGCAGAAACACTTCATCATAAAATGGCTTCAGTAAAAGTTCATTTTTTCAAAAATGTAACTCAAGTAAATGTAATTGAGTAAATAACTAGTTACTACCCAGCTCTGCTCAGTCATTTGTTCTTTTTGTAACAGGTGGTTGAAAACCGCTGCAAGAAAGTTTGCACCTCCAAGTCGGACCTTCGCTCCAATGACTTTAGCATTGTGGGGTCTTTACCTCGAGACTTTGAACTTTCCAACTTCGACTGTTATGGTAAACCTGTTGAGGTCACAGGAGCTCTCAAGTCTCAGAACAAAACCAACAAGAAACCCCCCCCACCAAAACCCGTCATACCTGCTGCTGCTAAACGCGTCGACCTCTATGCCAGAGCGCTCTTCCCCTTCTCTTTCCTCTTCTTCAACGTGGTTTATTGGTCAACCTATCTGTGAACGACAGATCGAAATAAATTAGTTTGTATCGTAATAGAAAGTATCTGTACTCATAAATGACATTGCAAATTATATCCTGAATTGTGTCCTGGTATTTCATATTACAGGTGATGATGTTATATTTCATACCTCCATATAAAAACTGTAAAAACCGCTTTTCCTCCTGTAATTGTAAATGAGCACAACCTGAAACTTCAAAGCTGTTTCATTTGCCTTGCTTCCGCCTGCAGATGGAAAAATGTTGCATGTGTGTTTCTGTGTTCAACAGCATTATGTTTTGTGTTACTTAAACTATGCTGCAGTCAGACCAATTAGACTATGTTACTGTAGCTCTTTACAGAAATGCATACAAGTCTCAGCTGGCCAATACTGTCAAATACATGCTTACATAATAAATACATTCCAAAAATATAGATGTGACTCTTTTTCTTGATACCTATTCTTATTTTAAAGGTTCAAATTGGAGATTATATTGGATTTTTATATTTATTACTGCAGATGTGATGGTGGCTGGGTAACACTACTCCTTAGTGTCAGCCAGTGTAGCAACAAACACTGAATTAAAACAACACACACATTTTTTTCTCACTGTTTGAAGTTAAAATAAACCATAATAGTTTTGTTTTAGGTCAGTTAGAGTTACCAAAATTATTTTTTTATTGGCTAAATTCCACAATAATGACAGGAGGGATGTCGTTTATGAGATTTATTTACTGATAAATACATAAATCAATAAATAAATAAACCTACATCAGGAACATCAGGCAAATGCGACACAACTCTGACCTTTTCACCTCTCAAAAAAATCCAGTCTGTACCACTTCCATATAAAATTGGATACGTATCCGAATGTTTTCAAAGCATTAGAAATCTGAACGGTCATTTCTCTCTTTATGCTGCTTTTATGTTATTGATGGGAGACATGCGTCATAATTCTGCACCAGAAGAAGTCAGAGGCTGTAAATCTGCATGTAAACAAGGCCTGAAAATTATGATCATGACCTTATGAAAAAATTACAATCACACCACTCCAATCTATATAAATCTCTCTGGCTTTCATTGGGTTTTTTACTGGATCCATCTATGACCTTGTAAGCTGTAGTGTGTTTTCCCCCGTAGGTTTTCCCTTTTTTCATTAAAGAACATTGTTTCACAGTCGTTCTCTGCACGAGAGGCTGTGAAACAGTCTGGTGATGCTTTTAATGTTGCAAATGTCAAGTGATTGCTGGGTTTTGCTTCTAAAACCCAAAGCTATTACAGATCCATGACAACATTAAAAGCATCACATTCCACTGGCAGAAAAATGTCCGCTTAATGTTAGTGTGAAATAATAATTTCATCCCAGCCTTGTAGAACTGTCATAGTTTTCATCACAGTTCTTGTGTTGACAAAATATAGCAGGCATGAACTGAGTCTCAGACTCACAGCTGTGCACCATTTAGCGCTTCTCTGTTGTATTTTTCATGCATGAGAAATGTTTCACAGAACTGTTCGCCTGCAGAAATGAACAGCTGAAGCACTTTCTCCTCTTGTCCACAGCATATACTTCATATAGTCTGAGTGTAGGCATAACGTCACAGACACCAAAATGTTTTGATGATTGTCCCAACTTCAGACTCCACGCATCAACTTTTAGGTTTAATTTAACCACTAATATAAAGTAATATGCCTTTATGGTTTAAACGTAACTAGGTCAAAGCTGTGCTGCAGCAGCTGCAACATTTAAGAAACCTTCTGCCTGAATATGTCTAAATAATCTGGGGCAATGTTGCCTTCACACCTTCAGCGAAGACAAATTATCAATGTCGTTAGTCCAACTGTCTGTGTCAAAATAATTGTGAATAAAATGAGCAGTTTGTTGTGATGATGCAGCTTGTTTTTGTTAGTTAGCTTGTAGTGTGTTTTAAATGTGTCCATTCATTCTACCATACCTGTTCAATGGGCAAAAACAAGTTTCTAGCAGGTGCTTTTTATAAAGCCCACATGTTTTTAATTAAAAATATTTAATATTCTAATCTCAAATGTGCTTTCATTAGCTGCAAGCAGAAAAACAACTCTGGGTGTAGTTAATCTACATAATGTGTTTCATTTAGTGATAGAGTTGCTGATTTGAATGAACTTTTCAGTTATATTCTGATGAATTAATGGGTCTGTGTAAGAACAGAGGTGCAGGGGATGTATTAAGTAGCTGGTGTCAAACAAAAGAAATAAAGGACAGAAGTAAAGGAGAGGGCGGATAGACACAAAGTGGCAGAATGATTTGTAAAGAATAGTTGAAACCATGAAAGTGGTTGACAGGATTGTTGTGAGATCTGTGATGATGGATGATTTGGGGATATCGGCTCTAGCAAAAAGAGTGAAAAAGTCTGAGATGCTTTGAACAAGACCAGAGGAGGAACGGTGGATAGCGGATGTTAAAAATGGAGCTGCCAGTGAGAAGAAAAAGAGGACGACCACAGAAAAGGTTAGTGGATGATTTATAGGTCTGTGTGACAGAGAAGGATGTGGGGACAGGGTGAGGTGGAGGCAGGCGATTGCCATGGCAACCCATAAAGGTAGCTGCTGTGAGAAGAAGTGAAAGATTGCCACAGTCATTTCAAACTGCTGCAAAATTGTAAAACACAAAGTCGTCCCATTTCAAACCAGGGAGTATGGAGTAGAGATCTGGGTGGGATGGAAACATTTTCCCTCAAAATTCACATTTTGCATGTTTCCATCTGGGGCTCAAATGCTTCTAAAAATCCCAAGCACTTAAAAAAAAACATCCAACCATTTTTTTTTTTTTAGAATAAGTTAATTGTTTGTGTTGTCTGGAAAATGAGCCATTTCAAAAACCAGCACTGCTCCTCACCTAGCAACCCCAACAACCCCAGCCTGTTACCTAGCAACCCCAGTGGAGCTCCACCCGTCACCTAGCAACCCAAGCTGAGTTCCAGCATGTTTAGTCAGCAGTTTTCACAATGGCTGCTTATAAAGACAAGTGTTTGGTTTTTAACTATACACTTCTGCTTTTCAAATATGCATGGTTATATAATTATGTATCTATTTGTTATAATTTTCATGTGCGAGTGTAAACATTGACCATCAGCAGCTTGTTTGGATTTAAAGTCACAGAGGCCCTAAAACGTCTCATTCTGACCAATTAGCCCATAAACCTTTCCTAACAGCTTCTCGGTTGACCCAGTCTCCGGTTAAGGAGCAGGATGCTCCGTCATCCTGCAAAGTTAAATTTGCCAAAATTTTTCTCTGTTTCTGCAGGTGTAGAAGCAGACTTCTAGAGGACTGCATTCTCTCTATCCCTTTCTCCCCTCTATTCTTCTCTTCCTTTTATTCCGTTTGACTTTTTGCCCCACCTCTCTTTCTTTCCTTTTCTCCTTTTCCTTTCCATTTCGCTTTTCGTGTCCATTGCATTGAAAGAAAGACAAACTGGAAGGGTTTGTTTTTCACTTGGAGAAGAAATTTTCTGAGAAATAGATTGAGAAGAAACCCAGCATTCTGACACATTTTCCAAAACTATTCCATTATATTTGTTATCTAGAATAGAAATGTACTTTTTAATCAGCTCAGAATTGAACTTTCTTAGTCCAATAACAAAACAACCAAATGACAATATTTATTAAATCTGATTTACTCACGTTCATTCAAATACAAAAAAAAAAAACAAAAACATGATGCATCTCTACGTGATCCATCACCTGCGCGCAGGTGGAATTGATCGATTACCTAAAAATAATACTTGAAAACATCTTAAACCACATGGAGGACTCCAGGACTCCCAGCACACAGCGTCCCCTACCTGACGGCGGTACCTCATCTGGCCGCTGCCGTACCTTCAGCTGTCGGCTGCTCTCGGTTTGCTCTCGTGCTTCATCGACGATTCAAGGCGCGTGCCTGCAAGTGAAGCGGCAGCAGCGGCACGCGCATCCTCCCCGGATCCAGATCAGAGAGCATCTGCAGTGGCCGAGCCGTCTCTCAGCAGCCCCGGACCCGCACCATGAGCCCGCATCGCGCCTGATGGTGGTGCGTTGGTGAACCGCTCAGCAGATCGACGTGGCATGGCGTGCAGGCGCCCGGACTCCACCATGAAGCTGCTCCTTGTGATGACTTTCTTATTCCGCCAGGCATTTTCCGGTTCTCCGAGCGTCCAGATCGGTAGGGTTTTGGGGGTTTCTGGCGTCAAGCCATCGTTTTGGTTCTTTTTTGCGTTTTCTGTTCCGCCGTGCATGTTAATTAGCCTCCTCCTCTGCACACTGCCGTCTCCTTCCCATTCATCGCGCCCCCACTGTGGGCCTCTCTCCTCCCTGTCCTGATGCTGCTGTGGGAAAGGAGAGGCCTCCTGACAGCTCCTCGGTCGACGCAGTCTCCGATCTGTCAACATGTTTTTTATAATTTCAGTAAATATCGCATCAACAATAACCTACAGGCGAAAAGGCCGCCTGCAGATATTTGGAGTTAAAGGCATTCCAGATTATTTAAACTGGGCTTTATTTAGCTGCAGAGCGACGTTATGATAGACTACAGAGGATATCCTCTGTAGTCTATATATATATATATATATATATATATATATATATATATATATATTTGATTGTGTTCAATAAGATTTATTTCTGATTATCTTAATTCATCTTGCCTGCATCCTTTATTTAACCATGAAAATTACTGATAAAAAAAAAAAAACTCTTCTAAGAATGGCCCCCAACTGCAGCAACATAAAACACAACAAATCTAAAAATACAAGACTAGATATATCACATCTAGTATTGTGATATATGACCAAAACTTTGGATTTTTGTCAAGCTTCCATTGCTTTGTTGCTTCAGGTTTTGTTAAGGTTTGTATCTTTGTGCAGCAATTTTATATTCTTTGGATTTTCTGTTGGATTCTTTTACAAATATTGTGACTGTTCTGTTAGAACTGATCTCTAACTGCCTGAGTCCACTCTCTGTTTTCTTCTTGCATTTAATTCATTCAACACCTTCCCTCTCATGTTTTCATTCTGTGATGCTATCCTCGGCACATTGCAGCTGTTTTTACTTAACAGGATTTAGTTGAAATCTGGTTTCTGTCACCTCTTTTCACACCTGCCTCATTCATCAGTTCAGCTGTTTTTAAGCTGAGCTCTCATTGTCAGTCATTTGCTGTTGGATCTCTAAATGTTCTGATTTTTGGCATATATGGAAACATTCACTCACTGATAGATTCATTGGGTACACCTGTTCGCAGCTAACACAAATAGCTGCCAAAAGGTCACATGAAGCATACCAATGCATTTAGGCATCCAGGCGTTGTGAAGATGACTTAGAAAACTGTACCCTTTCTCTGATTGCTATTTACAGCAGGAAAATGCCCCGATTCATAAGGTTCAAAGTTGTTGTTTTTTTACCATGACGATGAGCTCAATGGACTCCAGTCACAAATCTCAGTCTCAGGGTGTTTTCACACATGACAGTCTGGTGGGATTGGTTTGACTGGAGACCAAAATTGCAACATTTCTTACATTTTCAGATGGGCTGGTTTCCAACTGCATTGTGTCAAACAAAACAAACCCTTTGAAAAAACAGTTCCCCTCCTTGCCTGTGGAGGCGCTGCAGCAAGAATCGCTGAAGGAAATGACACAAAAACCTCTAAACAAGATATGAGCATCTTTTCTTCCAAAATGAAATACCATCAGATTTTAGCGGTTGTAAGATTTCTCTTTGGTCTTTGGTAAAAGACCACAAGCTATTTCACTCGCTAGCACTAGACTCACGCATTTGTTTTGGTTGTATTTACCCATAATGCCATGCGCTATAATCCACTTCCTGCTTTTGGAACGGTCTTCGGTCCGCTTGGCGTTCACATGTGCATTCGCACCAGAGTTCACTTTATCCAAACCGAGACCGAGACTGAGGCAGACCAGAGTTTGTTTTTTTATCTGCGTCAACATTTAATTAACCTCCCCAAACAAACCAGATTTTCTAGGAAAATGAAAGAAAGTTTGATTAAATCCAAGATTTGTATTCTGGATGTACAGCCAACAAATCATCCATGGAAATGTTTATGTTACATATATATGACACGAATAATGAATCACTTGTGGAGGCTCCCCAGTAGTTTATGATTCACCGACAGGTAACTGGTAACTTGGTAACTAAAAGCTGGACTGGAAGTAATCGCCACACACACCTCCAAGTTGCACCAACGGTCAAAGTTGATGATTGCTGGGAGCAGACATATGTTTCAGGCTCCCTTTTGGACTTTCAAAGAAAAATCCTGGTGTCACTTTTAGTGATGAGGAGGAAGACAAACTGAGTTGTTTTATATAATTCAGCTGATCATGAATAACAACTGTTTGATCAACTCTGCATGATCAGCTTTAAATATGTTTGGATTTTACTCTGCATGATCAGACACGACTGGATGTGGAACAGCATCGCCACAGCGCACTGCGCCCAGATTAAAGTAATTTTAACTTGGCTCAGCTGAGAGGATGACACGCTTTGCTGCTTTTTCTACATCCGTGCATATCGTCATGAAGCCGAAGAGCTGAGGATGTTTCCTCCTCCATAGCAGGGCGAAAACTGAGAGCGGAGGCCTTGAAAAGTCGGGCACATTTTGAGGAACTCTGGAGGTTTTTACAAGTTAGAAACATCCTGGAACTAAGTTAAAAAAAAAAAAAAACTTTTAAAAAAAGTAAAGTTTTTTGGATTACGATGAATCATTTGAAACCTTTTTCCCCTTTAATGTGACATAAATCATGGGAATTCAAAATCAAACACATCTGTTAAGGCACATGTGCCAAACTCAAGGCCCGGGGGCCAAATCTGGCCCGCCATAACTTTTTATGTGCTCCTCTAAAGTCTAACAAAACATCTAAATAAAACCTTCAAAATAACAACTATGTTATTTTGAAGTTATCAATCAAATTTAATCTGTTTTTTTCCTGGTATACTTCCAAATTATATCAGTGTGAAAAGATGGTCAATATTATTTAACTTTAAGAAGTACTTACTGGAGGCAGAAATAGGTATTTATTCATGTTTCAGAAGTTTGTTAATGGATTTTATCAATGCATTCTGCCACAACCAGCCCTTTGAGGACGTTCATGATGTTGAAATGGACCAAAATGTAAATGAGTTTGACATCCTTGTATTAAAAATCTGAAGTAGGTTGCAAATGTGCACAGATTTAACCTAATACTTGGTCAAAATACATCTTCATTCAGTTGCAACATTTAGTCTTACACAAAACATCAAGGATTTATTGTGAATGTGATTAGCCTTCGATAAAGTTCATCTTTAGCTAATCAAAAACTAGAAGTGAAGATGGGAATTAGTCAGGGAGAGGCTGACCTTAAAGAAATGACTGTTTTTTTACATAATACAACAAAAAAAACTGAAGATGAAGAGGGATTTAATTTTTTCAGTCCAAGAGGGCTAAATTGTGGCTCGCTTTTTATTTTTTCTTACTAACATATCTGCATGTTTTCAATTGAATTGCTTTGGATCTTTGTCATTTTAAAGGTAGAAGATGCTTTGAAATGATTTCTCTCCCTCTCATTGTTTTGTCAACCTGACATTTTACCATGGGAAGGGATCCGTACCAAATGAAGACAGATGATTACTTCTAGCATGTGACACAAACAAAGACATTATTTTCCCAGTTTATTTCAAGTGCTAATAATTTCCTCCTTCTGCACTGTAAAAATTTTAAAAACGTCTCCAATTTACCAATTTACCGTAAATTGGAGATGCTTTTTTTATTTTACAGTGTGCACCATATAGTCACACGAATAGCTTATTTTTCTGTTCAGTATATTAAAATTATTATTTATATATGACTGCATCTACAAAATAGCAGAATTTATCAGAGAAAAAATTAATAATCGCCAATGTAGGATTAAGGACTCTAAATGCATAATTTCCAGTTCCAAATTGTTGTGAAATAATTAAATTATTAAATTATTATACCCCTGTAAGACTTAGAGTAAACAATATTTTAATTTAAATAATATGTATCAATCTGATACTAATATCTGTATCGGTCATCGGGTTTTGGATCTATAGTGGCGGATCTATTCAGTCTAATTCTATGCTTAGTTCTCTGAGCGACGTCAGGCTTTATTATTTATTTTACATGATATTCAGAATTCCTAATTACATTTTCTGAGTCATTTGAAAGAAGGTCTGTTGCAGATTATTTTTACATGTTTGACCAAAGTAGCCAACCTTTTGTTTTTGTTTATTTTACATTTATTTCAGTTTTTTTTTTTTTTTTTTTTTTCAGTTGCTGAACTAATTATAATTTTTACATGTTTGACCAAAGCAGTCAGGATACTATTTTAATCAGCTTCAGTTTCTTAATTATTGATTTTATATTGGCTATTATACTCCTAATTGCACTGATAAAACTAATTAAAGTTGTGTAATTTTCACATTTGATCAACCTTATGAAGCTATCGGTGTATTTAAGTGTAATTCAGTACCGTTTTATGTCAATACGGCATTGCTTTTCTGTATTGATCGGTATCAGTTGATACTAAACTTCAGATATCTGTATCTTATCGGATCAGAAACAGGGATTTCTCAAAGGCCAATAAAACAATTCTAAAATTTGCAAAATCCAAAAAGAATCTGTTTTCAGTTCAATTTTATTTTAAATTATATTATCAAAAATAATTTTTGCTCTTCTGAATAGTCAGTGGAAAAATCTTTATTGACATTAAAGACACCAAACTCTTCTTCTGATCTTTGAACAATTTTTAGTTGCACAAATGTTGAGTAGAACAATGTTTCTGTCAAAATGTGACGATTTAAGGTGAGATAGAAAAACCGTGAATTCATTTCCATGCGTATAAATTATTAATCTCCAAATCTTCATGCTGGAGCTGTAAGTAGCTCAAGCGTCAGCTGTTCGCTCACCTGAGGGGAACATTGCACACTTACATGCTGATGCTGGCTAAACAGCTGACCTTTGACACCTTTCTGTGTTTCCCCCATTTCTGAACAGCCTCTCAGAAATAGAGTGCTGGTTGCAGGCAGAGTGTTTTTTTCTTTTTTTCAAAAGAGGCATAGCTTCATAACCCTTAAAAAGTGATTAAGAGTTTGTTTAGGCAAATGTGTCCAAATCTGCTTTTTTTTCTTTTGCACCCAAATGCAACCTGTCTCTTTTACCTTGTTACATTACTCCTGGAGAAAAGTGCCAACCTTTGCCTGTAAAATATATTTAAATAAAAGTTATCAATGGAAAATACACTGATCCTGTTTTTTAAGAGATTACTTGAACTACATTTGTTCCGGCTAAGATAATATATTCTCTAAATTATAGAAACTTCTCACATGAAAGGTGAAGCTGCAACAGTCATGCTAAAAATAATTCACACTTTCTTTCAAATCTTTGATTTTACATATTAGGAAATGAAAGAAAAATGTAATTATGAGTAGCCCTGTCATGATAACAAATACTGCTGGATGATAAATTGTCCCAGAATTCCTTGCGATACACAATAATGTTGTTTTGGGATCATTTTCAAGATGGCATAATCATAATGCAAAAACACATTCTCAAAGATCAATCAATTTTAAATTCTAATGAACATTTAATTCTAGAACTGGATATTTTAAATATCCAAAATAAATAAACAACAAATAAAACCACTTATGAAGTCCTTCAAAAAAGGTGCAGTTGAGACCGAAGCACCAGACTACAGACTTTTATCATCCAGTTTTTGAACAAAGAAAAGAAAAAACAATAAATCATGCAAATGGAAATCTTTGAGCTTGGTTTAATTTATCATGTAATTACCGTAATTGATTTATTGCCTTTTCCGACAGGCCTAATTATGATAATAAATTGACAGATTATTATTATGTCATCCGGATGATTCAGTAGCAGAGTTGGTTCTAATTATTATTTTAGTTATTGGTTATTCTGATGATTGATTGGAATAAAAAAAAATGGCACATTCACCTGACTCTTTATCAAAGCCTTTTTTATGCAATAATGAAATTTTTATTTCCAAAAGTGCAACAACGCTGCATTTCTTACTGTGTGGTTGATCAGTTCATTGAATCTTTCCAGACTCCCAACAGCGTCACCATCCACTGGATGATCCGAGTTATGATGTGTGCATTTCCCTTTGGGATAATTATGTTCACTAATTTCTCAGTTTCACTTCACAACATTCAGAAGGAAGTTGGTCATAAAAATAGACATGTTGAATGTTTTGGTCTCAACTAGCCCTGTTTTGAAGTTTGCAGAGACTTCATAATGATGTTTCTGTTGTTTTGTTTACTAGTTTTGCATGTAAAATGTCTTCAGTTCCAGTGTTAAATGTTCATTAGAATTTAAAGTTTCTTGATCTTTGAGAACTTGGTCTTGCATTGTTATTCCATTACTATTATATTGCTTGAAAATGATCCCAAAATGACAATATTTTGGGGTTCAATGTGATTCCATGAGCTTTTTGAAGCAGTAGGAAGTTGGTCAGACATACATGATCAGTATTATGTTCTTGATGCTGATCTTGTTCTTGGTTAAAGAACCTGATTGTGGTTCCCACGGCTGGTCCAGATACAGGAGCTAATGATTCTGCACCACTGCAGGCAGCCATGCTTCTCCTACAAGCCTGAACCTCCACTTCCCGCTCAGGGCAAAGAAAATGACCTCATTCTGCCAGATCCACCACAACCGTTGCAGCTCAGCTGAGGTAGAATGCAAAATATCCCCTTTCTCGTTTTAATGCAAATGTGTTGATCACTGGACGAAAACACAGAATATCATGTTGTGATCAAAATACGGCGACGTAGCTTAACGGTGCTGTTTACAGCAGCTTCTGTGGAAGAACGTAGCCGACTTTTTATTCATCTGTCAGCACAACCTAACTATGGAGAGCCATTTCAGCCAAAATTTAATACGTAAATAAATAAATAGATAGAATAATACATACATAAATAAATGTCTAAATAAATAAAATAATAAGTAAATGTGTTAACAAATAAACAAATAAAGAAAATAATACGTAGATATAATAATACATATATAAATTAATAAAAAATACGTAAATAAATTAAATAACAAATAAATATCTAAATAAATAAAATTATAGGTAAATGTATAAATAAATGTATGAAATAATAAATAAATAAATAAATAAAGATATATCTAAATTAATAAAATTCTATGTAAGTGTATGCATGTATAAAAAAAATTATAATAAAGAAGCCAATTAATCATATTCTTATTTACTTTCTGAACTGGCTCTCCATGCTTAACGATGTTTTTAATTTCTGACTTTCCTTCTGTCAGTCAGTGTCTCCAGCGTCTCAGAGCAGAGTTCGCTCCACATCTTACTTCAGTTTTAAATCATTTGTTGCCATGTTTTTTGTTCCAAAAATAAAGAACAGATTCATAAACTTTTTAAAAACTTTAACAAATCATGACCAGCCTATCCATTATGCATGAGGGACATCTTCCACATTAGGTGCTACACAGCAGGAAATTGGTGCTCCAGATGGCGCCGCAACAAGGCGGGGAGGATTTGGACGCAGTCGGGCAGAAATGAAATGTCTGTGGACAGCAAGTGCAGAGTGGATGTTATAAATCAAGGATTTTATATCCAAACATGACTTATGAACATTTGTACTTTTTTTTCAATGCAGGCTAGACTCCGTTTTTTGATGTAATTTCAAGAAAAGAACTTTGTAAGATATTCTTGTTTACACTTAAGAAGCACTCTTTGAAAGAGACACTAATTAATTATAAATTAAAAATTTTAGATTGTTTTACAGACAATGTGGATGAATAGATCCATAAAATTAATGTAATAGCAACCCTTTTGTGATCGGAAGGTAAATATGGGTTTTTTAGTAATTCACATTAATATCTTTCAATTGACTCCTGAAAAAACTGTCACTATAATAAATTAATTGTATGCTAAATTAAAATGAGCTCAATCATTTCTGTTCTGATTATTAATATTTTTGAAGGGTAGTTTTGTTTACACAGACTTTATAATCCATTTTATTTATGGTTTTGGTTGTGTTTTTCATTTTGTTTTATTTTTGATATTTATAAATATCTTAATTTTTCATTCTTAAGAATCTTTACAAAGTTAAAGTTTATTGGTCTTTGAGAGGACGATTGTAATGCTATAATCAATGTATTAACTTGAAAATGGTCTCAAAACAACATTACTATTGTTTATTGTAATTACTGGGACAAATCAGTTGAGCAAAATTTGTTATTGCGACTCAAAATAAAGTCCAGCAGTGTTAGAAGTATTTCAGAACCAGAACTGTGAGCATAAACTAGAAATTTGACTTTGGGTTTTCAAGCGCTCCCAGAAAACAAAGTATAAATATTGAGCTTCAGTGAAATTAAAATAAAGATAAAGGAACAATACTTACAAGTATTTGCACCTTTATGAAGGAGAGGGATTGTTAGGATGTGTTTACTTCCTAGTTCTCCTCGGCTGTGTTGATTCTTCTTCTGTTGTTTCTGTTGGGGAAGCGACTGAACCTGCAGCTGCAGCTGAACACTTCCTGGCAGCAGATTTCAGGGAAGGCATTTATTTCCCCAGAGCTGCTCAAGGCCTGGGACGTTGTTAGGTCTACCTTGGCTGCAAAGTGTGCGCAGCATTGCAGCATTTTATGGATGAAAAGGGCAGAAGTGTTGGACTGGCAGCCTGAATAGTCTGCAAAAGCTTTTGTATGTTTTCTGCCTGTCAACTCTGAAATGTCCAGCACCTTGGTTCAGCACCAGGAAACAAAATCAAAATGGACTTTGATTATATGAATGCGGGAATCTGCAGCATCACATTTGGAAAACATTTGAGATGTTTTTGTGCTCCACTCTGACCAACCATGCCAATAATAATTTCTGTTCCTGTGTTTCCTCTAGGTGGTTTGTTTCCCAGGGGCGCGGATCAGGAGTACAGCGCATTCAGAGTCGGGATGGTTCAGTTTGGGATGGCAGATTTCAGACTCACTCCACATATAGACAACCTGGAGGTGGCCAACAGCTTTGCTGTTACAAACTGCTGTGAGTTTTGCTATATTATCTTTGTCTATTAATAATCAATTGGTCATTTTATCAGTAAACCTGAAATGTAGCATTTGACAATAATAAATAAAAAAACATTAGCATTAGCAAACCAATTCAGAAATGCCATTATGCTAAGATAATTAGTCTCAAACTTAAGTGTGTCATTGTGTTTAAGAAACTCATATTTAAGCAGTTTTATCATTTCATCCTGACTAGTTCTCAACTCAGTTCAACCAGATCAAAATGAACAGTTCATGTTCACAGTTCTCCAGTTTAATATCTTAAACTGAGCTCAAAACTTTTACTGTAAGCTCTAGCTATTTTTCATTCATCTAATATATTTTTTTCTGAAATGAAAAGGTTGTTAGTATATAAATATATGACATGAGATCATTAAAAGTTGGCATTCACATCATCCTGTTTTATTCTCCTCTGTTGTCTTTGCTCTTGTATTTTAGAGTAGCTGAATTTATTGTGCACATATTAATTTCATCAGCAGGAAATATAATTTTGACTGATTGGTTCTCCATTAAGACTATGTTTGTAACTGCAGTCACCTTTAAGCCTCTTATTACTGCTAAGTCCATGACGACAGGATTTACCTGGATGTTGTTTTTCTCTCTTTAAGCTGATGCTGCACAGCGGAAAACACACATTAAAAAACACGCAGTGAAAACATGAAAGATGAAGTTGTCTTTGAAAAGAAGCACTCGATCATTTGAAGACAGAAAATTCAAGTTTAAACAAATTCAGCTTGTCCATATATCACATTTATCATTATGGACTCTCTAATAAAATCTAGCTTGAGTTCAAGTATTGCTGATTATTTTTGTTTATGTAATTTAAACATATCTTGTTTTTTTCAGTTACTTATCGACAGGAAGATCAGAAAGAAAAGTTTTTAACAGCAGTTTTTCTGTAGTTTCTAGATTTAAAGGGGACCTATTATGCAAAATTCTAAATTAATTGACATTAACTTCACTTTCTGCGCATTTTTTACTCCGATATGGGTTTCTGCTGCTTTTTAAAACAGCCTCTGTGCTTAAAAATAAAAACCAGCAAGTTTTTTGCCAATAAATTTATGTTTTTTGGTGTGTGGAAAATGAGCTGTTTCAAAACCCTCCAGATTGTTAAATCACATTCAAGCAGCACTGTGCTGTTGCCTGGCAACCCAAGTGGAACTCTGCCCGTTACCTAGCAACCCAAACAGAGCTCCAGCACATTTGGTCAGCTGGTTTTACTGCTGTAATCACTGTACAATGGCTGCTGGAAAAGAGAAGTAATTTGTTGTTGGCTTTCCGTCCAGAAACCACTTGCTGCATTCTTTTTGGTTGTGCAGGAGGCTCTACTAATGCTTTCCAAAGACATACGGTTGAATAATTGCATATCTGTTTGCAGCAATGTCCATATGAGAGTGTAAACGTTGAGTTGGTGGCGTGGCCAGCAGCAGCTTATTTGGATCTAAAGTGACAAGAGGCAGAACTGAACAGACTGAAATCCCGTTATCTAAGAATGATTTTGTACAAAAACATGTACTGAAATAGACCTATCCTAACCTGTTCATGGAAGCGTAACAGGTCACCTTTAAGGATTGGCTCTTCGTATTCTGTAGCAGAATATGAGCTGAAGGTGGTGTAGTCAAGTTTAAAGCAAGGAGAGACAAATAGGCTTAAATTAGCAACACAGATCCTTTCATCAAAGCTGGATAGAGTCTCTGCTGCCCATGCTGACGCACAGCCACTCAGCAGACACTAAACCAGCTCCTACAGGGGAAATGATGCGGCTCTTTCTCAGTGAAACATCTGAAGCTAAAAACTCTGAGATCTGCTCAAACACAACAATAAGAAGAAGCTCGTCAGTATAAAATATTACAGCAAGAGCTGTTTATATTTAAACATGTTTCTAATTTAGACTTCAGTTGTTGAGGATGCGACCCCTCTTTAAGACATAAATAGCTTCACTGTTGCTTACTCCACTGCTTTATGTGAGCTCTTGCTGTGTGATCTGGATCATTGACCTGATAGCATTGTTCATTATTCTTTAGAACAATTGGTTCTCCTTTATAGATCCACTCGTTTTGCAACACGTCTCTACTGTTGGTCTCCAATTTAAAGCATTTCAGTTTTCTGCAGAGCAGCTGCAGGTTTATGTAAAGTATTTAGTGACCAAAACATAACTGCCTTTGTTAAAGTTGAATCACTGTGGAAGGACTTCTTAACTGAGAAGCTGCCATCCACCTCATTCTGCTTTTGTTTGATGTGCAAAAATCAGTCACTAAAAGATCTTTTTACTTACTTTGTAACTTGGACAGGTAGTGTTTAGCTTAGCTTCACTAGATGTCTAAGTTTGATTCTAGTTGTTATATTATTCTCTTTAAAAATGCAAACCCTTCATGTTAAACTGATGTTTTAATTTTAATTATGATTTCTAACTTAATTCTTCCTGTAATTTGATTTTGGATCTCAGATATATTTGAGCTCAGTTTATTTTTTCAGTTCTATAGAAATATATTCCAGAATCAGATCACAGTTTCTCCTTTGCTCTGATTCTGAGGAAAAACATATTTCCACTTTTGAGATTATATAATGAAAAAAGGCTTCTAACAGCTTCCAGTAGTTTAAGGCCACTTAATAGTACAAACAATTGATCACTTGATCCCTAAAAGTGATTAGTTCACATGTCTCATAACAAAAGGCCATGAATAAGGCCATCTAAAATTTGGTTTTGGCCTCAGTTTTGATGCATTTTTCCAATTTAAATGACACCTAATTAGCCTAAGTGTGTAATTTCTTTTAAATGCTAAATTACTATGAGCTGCCTGTGATTTTTCTGCTGTCCCCTGGTTGGTTTGCAGCAGGAGAGCAACAGCAGTGCAGCTTCACGCAGTTTCTGTAGCACATCAGCATCTTTAAAATCTTCCCTCACCTTCAACGCCTTGGCCTTGCTTACTCACATGGCATGCACTTTCCAAATGATTGAGTTTGCAGATAGTGTTCTGCTGATTATTCAGAGGTCAAACTTTGTAATAAGGGCAGATTGGGTCTGAAATGACTTTCACATCATTTATCTTTGTGAATGTCTTTACAAAACAGTGAAAACGTGGATCTATCCCACGTTTGCATTGTTTTTGTTTTGCATGAGCCGGACTGAGATCCTCACAGTACAAAAAACCCAAATTTAAATTAAAAATGATTTAAGAATTGCTGTTATTTACAACCAGAAAGTAAGAGTATTGATGTTGTGATGCAGCTTCTATCGCATATTGATTGGTGGCTCTCTTGAAGCATTTAATGATTCAGAAGGCAACAAAGCAATTACAAATCGATAATCAATGCAACATGATGAATTCTTAACAACCAGCAACAGTCCTAAATATTTCCTAACAGCAGTTGCAGTAAACTTTTTGATCCCCTTCACTCATAGCCACACTGTAAAAAAATAACATCTGTAATTTACAGTAAAATACCGGCAGCTGTGGCCGACAAAATTTTACCGTATAAATACGATAAAACCCCTATTTATATGGATTTTACCAAGCAAATACAGTAAAATACATATTTATACGGTAAAATTTTGTTGGTTGAATATGTAACTCTGTGACACTTTCAGCCCTCATGCGTGTGAACAAAGACTCGTGCGTGTGAACAAAGACTCGTGCGTGTGAACAAAGACTCGTGCGTGTGAACAAAGGCTTGTGCGTGCAGTATGATGTGCTCTTATCAGAGCATGATGTAATGATGGCCTGGGGCTAAAGGGATTCAGTGTGATAGCAGGGAAGCACCAAGCCTTTGCTGCTAGCTTGCTCCTGTCCTCCATGTTTTACTGCTGCATTGTAAATGAGCTGTAGTGTGTGTGACTTTCAGCACCTGCAGTCATGGTCATCTCCAAATGATAAATCTATAAATTTGCCCAAATGAAAGGCAGGTTACCAATGATCAAACGGATATTAAACCATCAGTTGCTGCTTTGACTTCTTTCGACAGTCCAGAATCATTCAGGTTGGTTTATATAGTTTATATAGTTATGTTTGTTCTGACCTACTGTATCCCATCTTCTGCCCAATGACAGTGGCTGTATAAGAGAAAGTGGGTCTTAGACACAATATTTAACAAAACTTAGTATGAAAAATTCTTATTTTTCACATTTTTGTTCTTCTATTTGTATCTTCACTGCTTCTAGAAACAGTCTTAAAAAACAGCTGTTTTTTGGCAATAAGTTAATGTTTTTAGATGTCTGGAAAATGAGCTGTTTCAAAAACGCCACGATTGTTAAGTCATATTTAACGGGCACTGCAGTGTCACCTAGCAACCCCAGCGAAGCTCAGCCCATCGCCTAGCAACCCAAGCTGAATTCCAGCATGTTTGATCAGCTGGTTTTACTGTTGTATTCGCTCAACAATGTCTGCTGGAAAAGATAGGTGCTTTGTTGTTGGCTTACCATCCAGAAACCATTTGCTGCATTCTTGTCGGTTGTGCAGGAGGCTTCACGTCTGTTTTTCAAAGATGTATGGTTGTATAATTGTGCATCTGTTTGCAGTCATTTTCACATGAGTGTAAGTGTTGAGTTGGTGGTCTTGGCTACCTACAGCTTATTTGGATTTAAAGGAGCAGAAAGGAGCTCAAAATATACAGGACTGACTGAAATCTCATCATCTAAGAATTTTTTTTTGCAAAAAATTTAATGAATATGTTTTATACTTATCATAACCTGATCAAAGAAGCATAATGGGCCCCATCACGGGGCCAAAGCTGCCTGATCTGTGTTTGGGTGTTTGAAGGACGACTAGATGACGATTTAAATGAAAAAGGTTATTGATTACATCTATTTAAATCAGAGATTCAAACACATTTTGAGTTATGGCGGAGTAAACCCAATTTGTTCCTTGGATCCTCTAATAAAACATGACTTAAACTCTTATCTCTGTTAACTTGTCTCGTTAAAATGTTTCATTCATTGTCTCTTTTTCCAGTTTGTTCCCAGTTCTCCCGGGGCGTCTATGCCATTTTTGGCTTTTATGACAAGAAGTCGGTCAACACCATCACCTCCTTTTGTGAGACACTCCATGTCTCCTTCATCACACCGTCTTTCCCGGCAGAAGGAATGAATCAGTTTGTTCTGCAAATGAGGCCAGACATCAAGGGGCCTCTAGTTGCGTTAGTGGAGTACTATAAGTGGGAGAAGTTTGCCTACCTGTACGACAGCGACAGAGGTAAACGGATTCTCAATGTACTCTTTTACGTTCATGTTCCTGCTTCATAGTATCCACCAAATCTTCTTTCATTTCTGGATTTAACTGAGTAAATATAGGCTGATTTGACTGGCTTAAGGTCAGAAACATGCCCATCAGTCTGAGGAAATTAAGACACTAAAAAGTAAAGCAAAATAACATTTAACACTATTGTGACAACTAGGTCAAATTAAAAACCTAAATCAGGTTACCAAGTATTTTTGCTGGTTTCTAGTGGAAATATCTTCAAATAATCAATAAGTAACCTCTCGGCAACATATGGGAGCTTTTATTAAGTCAATAATTTCTTAATATTGATAGACACTGCTGGTTCCACTGGCAGATTAGTTCACTCCGGTATCAGGTCTGAGTCGGTTTCAGAGATTAATAGGGCTGAGACCAGTTTCCTCATTAATGATTTCCAGTTAACATTTAAACTGGCAGCATCAGTGCTGCCCCAGCAGCTGCACTGGAAGAACAGATTGGCTCTTTTTTCTGGCCACTCAAAGCCCTTTTCCACTCCAAGCACCTTTTACCTATCAACACTTTGCCAGCCTTGTATTTTTTTTGTCCAGACTGTTCAATATACAAACTGCACTAGCAGTGAATTATTTCTCTAACATCCTCACCTTCACATCTCCAGCTGTTATGTCCTGACCTAAGACGTGTCAGCACAGAACGAGGGGAACTGGGACAGAACCACAGACTTAAAGACAAAATGCTTTCACTCCTGGGAACACCGGATACTTCCTGGGGTTGGAATCGGGGTTGGAGGGAGGAGTTGAATTACCGGAAAGAGTTGGAAACTTATTATTCCAATCCTCCTTTCCCAATTTTCCCAATTCTTCCTTCCCAGGGTTGGAAGGCGGGTCGGAACCAGAATAATTAAACACAATAAATAAATAATAAGCATAATCTAACTAAAATAACAAACAGCTTAATATTCATATTAAATTGTTGATTTGTTTGTTAAATTCTTCTTGTATTGATTGAAAGCACTTAGAGGCCTCTGTGTCATTTTGTATAGCAGAAAAGAAACAGTCGTGTGTAAGAGAAAGCACTCAGTGATTCCTGTAGTTAATTTGACATTGTATATTCATAACATCTATCTAACAGGGATGTATTTTCGTGTTTTTCCATTAGTTTCAATTTGCAACCACTTTGTGCTGATTTATAGAAAAATGAAATGGTCTAGGGTTTTTTTTCCTGTTATAAAATTAAATTCTCCTGTTCTCATGCTGTGCTGGTTGGTATGAAGTCCTGTTAACAGCTCTCCCTTAATGAGTTGAGCTCTGGAAATGCCCATTAATTTTCTAAAAAAAAAAGGTAAGGATAAGGGACAGGCCTTAATTATTTTTTGCTTTGTGTGTGTTTGTAGGTCTTTCTACCCTTCAGGTGATTCTGGATACTGCAGCAGAGAAAGAGTGGGTGGTAACAGCAATAAATGTGGGAGACCTGAAAGATGAGAGTAAAGATGAAGCTTACCGCTCCCTCTTTCAGGTAGCGCTACTCTGAAATTATCTTCCATCTGCATAAGGTTCAGGTTTGTCTTCGATGTACTGAGCCTCTCTCATATCCAGCAGTCTAGAAACCAGCTGAGTTGTTTTCTGATAAACTGATGCTTTAGGTTCTGACTGAAACTGGGCCCATTTTTAATCACCCTGTACAATTAATGTATTATCATGCAGTATGGTTTAAGTGCAGCTTTATGAAGGTTTGGAGAAATGAGGGTTTAGGGAAGCGTCTCGAAGGAAGTTAAAGTTTGTTCAGTTTTATTGTCTGAACTCAGTTTTAGTATCTGTGTATGTCTTTAAAATGGCCAAAAATGCATATAAATTAAATTTTTGCTGTAAACATTGTGACTAAAACCAGGAAGACGGAGCACATCACCCCAGGTTTAAGTCTCTCCACTGTAGCTCAGAGCACAGATTTTAAAATGCTGCTGTTAGTTTATAAATCACTGAACGGTTTAGCGCCACAATACATTAAAGATCTGCTGTTGTCATAGCAACCTTCCAGACCTCTCAGGTGTTCTGGTTCTGGTTCTGGTCTGCATCTCCAGAACCAGAACCAAACATGGGGAAGCAGCATAAACAAAATTTTTTGAATTAACTCCAAATTTTTTTTTTTAGAGAAAATACCCAAGAGAGGTGTAGCTAATAGCTGCTATAAGCTGAATTTAGCTGAATTTTCTAGTGTTAGCTTGTGATTATGTTACTCAACTTAAAAAGACACTTTGTTTAGCTTGAAACTCTTTAAGGTTAACCATAAGCAACTCTGTTGTTTTGGGGGAAATGATAAATTTCATCCATTCATATCTCAGAAAAGCGTGAATGTCAGCGTGTCGCTGCTGAATTTGTGTAATGAAGCATTCAGAGTGGTGGGAGTGAGCAGTGACTTGGATTCTTTACATCATTTGCTTCTGAGATTTTGTGGAAATCTGCTTAGTTTTGATATTATCCACCCACTGGAACTGGCAGAGATGTATCTGCGCAGTGCTGTGTTTAGACCCCAGGTACTGACATAGTTAGAGGAGGACTGAAATACTGAGAGCTATGATGAAAGGAGAAGTGGAGGAGGAGGGAAGCTCTAAAGATGCTCAGGAAGAGAGAGTGACATGATTACAGTGACATGTAAAAAATGAGGACGAGGGGCTGATTTACTCTGCGAAAGTAGGTAAGAAAATGCTTATTGACAGCTTAGAAAGTGTGAACTTTGGATGTGATTAAAAAGGAAAGTGACAAATAGAACAGGAACAGCCTAAAGCAAAAATAGATAACTGGCTAAATCCTTTTTTTATTGTGCTTTCCTTCTAGAGTCAGTAACTGATGTGACTGTGGAATATAACATTTTTCATTTTTAAAAAGAACAACAAATAAATAACAAATGCCGCTGGATAGGTTTTAAATACACCTTCTTGTGTCTCTTTAGGACCTGGAGATCCGTAAAGAGCGACGCATCATCCTGGACTGCGAACAAGATAAAGTCAAAGACATTATGGAGCAGGTGGAGTTCAGTCTTCTCAATAAAATGCTCCTGGTTGAAATCTGAGTTTCTGTTAAACAGAAAACGTTTTATTTCATTAAAGAACAACAGAGACAGTCAGTCGTGTGGATTATATCTCTGTTAAAATACTAAATTCAAACAGAAATATCCATTATTGTCCCTCAGTTGGGAAATTTGGGTACATCAGCAGCAAAGTGATAAACGAGTTGAAGAATGTAGATTCAAAGGTGAAAAAATGACAAAAGACTGAGCAGTACTGTTAAATTCACAGCATAAGAAAAAACATACTGTGCTGTCATTAAGAATGGCATAAATTGATTCAAAGAAATGTGGAAGTTAGTAGGATTGTCATAAGGTGGGGTTGAAGTGGTGAGGAGATGACGCAGAGAACCCAGGTTATGGTGAAGATGAATTTAATGATGAATGTAGTTCACATAGTCCAAATCAGGCAGCACGGCAGGAACAACTAGCACGCAGCTAAGCACCGGTAGCAACTGACAACGAAGACTAAATCAACTGGAACTGACGTCGACACAGGACTTAACCAGTACAACTGGGAAGACGGACAGACAGACGCAGACTGCAAACGTTTGACAAGGACCCGACGAGGAACACAGACAACAGGTGGGTATAAATACACAGGGGGTAATTAAGGGAATGAGACACACCTGGGGAGCAATCAACGGGGAGGACAGGACAGAGACTCACAGGGAAACAGGAATACATTGAAAAACTCAAAAACACACAGAAAACCACGGATCATGACAAGGATATGCCAAAAAAAATGAACGGTTTGTTGGTATCAGTAGTGAATGTGAAGGGAGGAAGGATCTGAGACAACACTGCTTTGTGCACCCAGGATGCAGCAGTCCGTCAATAAAGGAGAAGATTTGGTAGTTAGTAGCTGCGTTTAGATAAGTCTACGTGTGGTAATAATTATGTACAAAGTAAGGGAGAAAATGTTTTTGATTTTTAAAATCTAAGGACACAGATAGTAAACATAAAAACCTGTTTTGAGAGTTTTATATTGTTAACAAAGTGTATTTTCCTTCCCCATCAGGTGATCACTATAGGCAAACATGTGAAGGGACACCACTACATCATCGCCAACTTAGTGAGTCACGACCCAACACCTTGCAACAAACTGCACATTTTTCCTTTTATCTGCAACAGGTTATTTTAAATTGACACATATTCACAAAAACAAAGTAAAATTCTCAGTCAGGTCCTAATGGCAGACCGCAGGTTGGACCGATCAAGAATAACGAAAGGCCAATTATGAGTTTGTGACCTTAAACAAACCAATGCTGCAAAAATACAAAATCTTACCAAGTATTTTTTTTCTAGTGCAAATATCTTAGTACAGAAATAATAAAGAAATAATAGAAAACTAACTTAAAAGTAACTTTTCAGTAAGAAATATGATAAATAATTCCTTAATATTGATTTTAATAGTTCTAATTCCACTGGCAGATTATTTTACTTCTAACAATTTATATGTACATATTATATATTATATTTAATTTATAAATTGTTTCCCATATTATAAATTAAATTATCTGCCAGTAAAACTAGTATTTTTCATCAACTACAGACTAAAAACAAGATCCTATTTCTTTCTGAAAAGTTACGTCTAAGTTTGTTTTGTCTTATTTTAAGTGTACGAAACAAAATATACTTGGTAATATTTTATGTTTTTGTTGTGATGTTATTATAGTAATAAAAAATATATTTTCCTTATTTCCACTGTAGCTTGTTGAAAATATTTTAAATATTAAAGGAATACCCCTCATTAAGGTGATATAGAGCCGTATGACAGATTACAGCAAAACTCAGAGAGGTGGAGTTCCTGATATTTTTTTATCTGTTTTTTTTTTAATAGCATAATGAAAAATATTTATGACAAAACAGCCGTAAATCCTCCATTTACTGTGTGTCAATATATGTGAGTTCTGGTACAGTTAGTAGGAATGACAGGTTAGGAAAACGAGAGAAAAACTTTGTTGTTTTTGATCTTCCAGGGATTTTTGGATGGTGACATCTCGAAAATCCAGTATGGAGGTGCAAACGTATCTGGATTTCAAATAGTTGACTTTGACAATCCTGTGGTGGCAAAGTTTGACCAACGGTGGGAGGCTTTGGAGGAGAAGGAGTATCCTGGAGCAGATACACGAATCAGAGTAAGAAACAACAATAAGAACAACTCAAAGGGGACATTTTATGCAAAATTCACATTTTGCACATTTTTGTTCTTACATTTGAGTTTGTGTTCCTTCTAAAAATCACCCAGACGTTTTTTGGCAATAAGTTAACGTTTTTTGTGTCTGGAAAATGAGTCGTGTCAGAAACCTCCGGAATGTAACGACACAATTCAGCAGGCACTGCCCGTCACCTAGCAACCTCAATGAAGCCCGGCCTGTTGCCTAGCAACCCAACCTGATCCCCACCATGTTTGATTGGCTGGTTTTACCTCTGTATGTGCTGTACAATGGCTGCTGGAAAAGAACACTGTATAGTTGTTGTCTTACTGTCCAGAAACCACTTGCTGCATTCTTGGTGGTTGTGCAGGAGCCTCCACTTGTGCTTTCAAAGATGTACAGTTGTATAGTTGTGCATCTGTTTGCAGTCATTTTCATCTGTGATTGTCATAAAAGGCGAGTTTACCCAAGTGGCCTCTTGTCACTTTATTTAGATTTAAAGCCACAAGAAGCCCTAAAACAGCTCAAAATAAACAGAAGTGACTAAAAAAGCAGACTAAAATCTCATTATCTAAGAATGACTGTGCAAAAAATGCAATCACTGACCCATCCTAACCTGTTCAAAGAAGCATAATAGGTCACCTGTAAGCAATCTTTATTCCTTTAACAGTTCTAGGAAAGAAGAAGATTCTATCACAGTGATAAGCAGAAAATGTCAGATTACCGTCTAAAACAATTATTTTGTGATCTTTTAGTACACCTCTGCCCTCACCTACGACGCAGTCAACGTGATGACTGAGGCGTTTCGTTTCCTGCACAAACAGAGAATAGACATGAGTCGCCGTGGCAACAGTGGGGACTGCCTAGCTAATCCCGCAGTACCCTGGGCTCAGGGCGTTGAGATTGAACGTGCCCTGAAGCAGGTAACTATGGACTGGATTGACCTTCATCAACAGATGTTACTTTGTATCGTCTTGCTTTGTCTGTGTGAGGAACTGCCAGTTTCAAAGTACAAAACAGAATGTCCTGACTTTTCTTATATTTAACTTTAAAATAAGTTATTGAAGGTTGGGTTTGGCACTGGTAGGGATGTAGAAGATAACTATGTCAATTCAGGCTGATGCTGCAGCAGAAGTGGGAGGAAAGGAAGCATAGTTACTCATACCAGATCCTTCGTTAGGCTCAGACTCAGGAAAAAGTTAGTCCAAACTGCAGCTAATTATCCTCGCTAAACATGGATAACTGGAGAGAAGCAGCGCTCTCTCAATAACTGGAGAGACAGTTATTGATTTAACACAATCTGTGGACATCAGCAGATGATTTGTAATAACAGTGAACTCATAAAATGTGGCACATGGACTTATGGTTTTATGACGATATTTTGCGGGACTGTTGCAATAATGATAAACATGATGCTGATAAGAACTATTTTGTTCCATTTGTAATACACTTAATTAGTAGCATTAAAAAGTGTGGTTTGTTTCACTAAAATGCACACAGTAACTGCATTTAATCACATTTTAAAATGCATTGATACATATTTATTGAACTAACAGTGAAGAAAAACAACAAAAATAAAAATCCCAACAAAACAGACAGTTTTAGGGGTTTCTAAATATCATTAATTGAAATGTATTGTGACTATAAATCAAAATGTTTTCATGATAAAAAAAATGTATTATATGTCACCAATTTATAAATGATAAACAATGTGATAAATACTGATCACTATGACTACAATAGCTTTTACTTTTTCACAGTCACTAAAAAACATGCTTTATCCTCCCATTTGATTTGTCTTTTTAGTCAGGAAAATAATCAATTTTCTGTCTGTGACCATACAGTTGTAGGCTTCACATGTAATTATCCAAATATGGACGTGCTTCCTGTTTGAAAATGGGATATTTTACGATTTCAGTGTTTCCTTTTTCTAAAACAGCTGTTTATAATTTAAAATTCAACACCAAGACGCTGAATATATTGCAGTTTGTGATTATAATAATGTTTTCTCTCCTTTTACCTGTTTGATCAGTGTAGAAATGAGATCATTTAAAATAAGCTGTGGAAACTGCTCAGTGTGTTGAATAGACATTAGCTCTATCTCTGATAATTTAAAGTAATTTGGTGTCTTCAGGTTCAAGTTAATGGTTTAACTGGAAACATTCAGTTTAACCAGCATGGGAAGCGAACCAACTACTCAGTGGCAGTCATGGAGCTGAAGAACAGCGGACCCCTCAAGGTAGCTAAACAAGACTTTCTAATGATACACCCAGCTTGTGTGTTTATGTGTTTTGTGTTTTGACTAAAATCACCGTTTTGTTGCGTCGTGTGCTTCCAGATTGGCACCTGGAGTGAAGCGCATAAGTTTGAGGCGGACAAGCAGGATATAAATAATGACACGACGGGAATAGAAAACAAAACCGTCATCGTTACAACTATACTGGTAAGACACCATCACTCTGACGTAGTTATCATGAGATCGAACATGTATGTGTCTGAATAAAAAAATAGATTATTTCAGAAAAAATTAAGCTCATTATGCAGACAACTTTACTCCTGTGCTTTTTATTTTTCCATTTTTTTTTCAATTTTGTGTTTGGAAATTTAAAAATACACAATTTAAATTTTCATCAGGTATTATACTGGCTCTACTGATTCCTACTGAATTGGACATAATGGAACATCCTCCAGAATTATACTGTCAATGTGAAGATTAGTGCTGCAAATAATCATTATTATAGGTTTCAATGGGTCTATCAATTATTTTGATTAATTGGTAAATTTTTAATCAATTAATTTTCTGATTAATCAATTAATTGGATGAAAAAACTGTCACAGTGGCACATTCTGCAAATTTTTTATTGAAATCTTTTTACATGCCATATTAAAAATACATTACAAATGCAACTGAGCAATTCAACTTATTTTTTAAATAAGAAAACAAACATTTTACTGTCTAAGATATTTTTTTCCAACATCACCATGTGAAAAGCTCAGGCCTTTCTGCTTAATTTATCAGTACAGTGTAGGGCTGATCTGTTCACCATCTTTTGGATTAACCATTAGTAATTGTTTAGCAAAAGGAACTTTAAAATATATATATATTTTTTTACAGTTTGAGCTTGGTGAAGTTAAAACTATGACCCTTGAGTTTTGGGCAATAATTTATACCACTGAATAGTCTGTTTATTTTTCCTTACATTGTGTCACAGGACAAAATCTTTGTGGGTTGAGGAGTTTTTGATTACTGTCCCTTCTGGGATTGGATGATTGAAGTTTCAAAATAAAATAATTACTTTTTAAATACCTGCATACTCAGCTGTGTTCCTCAGCCTACAAATACCTTTTTTATAAAAATGTGGAGCCATTTTCGGAAAACTAAACAGACTTCCCAGCAGTATAAGTCTACAAAGATAATACAAGATAATAAAATTGTTGTTGCTTTTTGTGCTGAGTTTAGTTTTACTGATTTCTGCATGTTTCTGGTTATAGGAAGCTCCGTATGTGATGCTAAAAAAGAACGCTGATGAGCTTCAAGGCAATGATCGCTACGAAGGTATGATGGTGTCTATGGTTGATGTTTGTGTTTTTTAACCACACTTAATGATGTTCTACAATTTGATCATTTTTGTTACACAGTTCTCTAGAGCTGATAGCACATTTGTAAAGTGTTCACCCTTACCTCTTTTTTAATCTTTCTGTAAAAAGCAGACGGTCAAATTCAAATCCAATTTAATTTCTAAATTGTCCTTTTATTTTAGGCTACTGCGTTGACCTGGCTGCAGAAATTGCAAAGCACTGTGGGATACGCTACAAGCTTCGGATCGTAGGAGACGGAAAATACGGAGCAAGAGATGCTGAGACCAAGATCTGGAACGGGATGGTTGGAGAGTTGGTGTACGGGGTAAGCTGGACGTTCTGGGAACAGATGTGACCCGTTTTGGTCGTGCTGGTCAGGACTCTGGCAGCAGCAGTCTGGATGAACTGCACCTCACTGGTGGAGTTATTATTTAGCTTTTCACAGAAATCACTAAAGACAATTTTATAAAAGAAAATAAAGTCAAAAAAGAGTTTTTTTTCTAAATAGATCTTTTTAAAATGTAAATCTGCCAGGGCTTTTAATAATATAGGGCTTAACTGTGGGCTTTTAGGCGTATAGTTTGTTTGCCCTTCACTGCAAAAATACAAAATCTTACTAAGTATTTTTGGCGTGTCTTGTGCAAATATCTTAGTACACTTGAAATAAAACAAAACTAACTTACAAGCAATTTTTCAGCAACCTACAGGAGCTTTTTTAAATTAATAATTCCTCAATATTGATTAGAAAATGTACTTATTCCAGATGTTTTCCCTTACAAATAAAATGGGGAAATGTCTTGTGACTGAAATTATCTGCCAGTTGAACAAGTTTTTTTGTCAGAATTAATGAAGTATTGACTTAAAACAAGCTCCAATATCTTGCTGAAATGTTACTTAGAAGTTAGTTTTGTTTTATTTCAAGTGTGTATATTAGGACCGATACAGATATTAATATCGTATCGGTGAATCTTTATTCACAAAAAGACCAAATACTGTAAGAGGACAGGTTGAATGAGGTCAAATTGATTTAAATTAAAAAGTAACACATCACAAATGTTTGTTTTTTTGGGACAGATGTCCTGTTGAGGCGGATCAGATATTTTAACCAACTCTTTGTTTTTTCTCTTCCACAGAAAGCAGATATAGCAGTTGCTCCCCTGACGATTACTCTTGTTCGGGAAGAGGTGATTGATTTCTCCAAACCTTTCATGTCCCTGGGAATCTCAATTATGATCAAAAAGCCTCAGAAGTCCAAACCCGGCGTCTTCTCCTTTCTGGACCCACTGGCCTATGAAATCTGGATGTGTATCGTCTTTGCCTATATCGGCGTCAGTGTTGTCCTCTTTCTGGTGAGTCAAACCTCAGATTTCTAAATGTGAATAATAAATAGCTCTGAAGTTTAAATAGAACCAGTAATATATGGGACCTGCTTGTAATCTAACAACACTGGTGTTTTACTCTGTGAAATGATCAATTATTTATTAAAGGTATGTAAAAATGTTTTAATAACTAGACCAAAAATACTTGGTAATATTTTATACTTTTGCAGTGTAAAATCTTCAGTATGACCCGTTAATTAAAAATGTTTCTCCCTGGAGGTGTCGAGGTTCAGCCCGTATGAGTGGACGCTTGAGGAGCCAGAAGACGGAGCGTTGCCGCTGACGACCGAATCAACCAACGAGTTTGGGATCTTTAACTCTCTTTGGTTCTCGCTGGGCGCGTTCATGCGACAGGGCTGTGACATTTCACCAAGGTTGGTACGACACACCATGTCACTAATGTGGTACTTAATATTTATATGCTCATCAATATCAAGTATTAGTGAAGTAGTACAATATTTTTTGTTCAAGTTATTTCCCCAGTTCCCATTCAGAGCATTTTATACCAAATACTCTTTGGAATGAAATTATTCTTTCTTCTTTTTCTTTATTCAAAAAGTTGCTTTTCTGCTAGGAACACAAATTAAGTCATGCTAATTTTTTCGTAACGTGTCCCAAACAGAGCTGGCCCAACGGATGTCTGAGTTAAGCAGTTGCTTAGGTCCCCCACACCACCAGGGGGCTCCCAAGAGCTGTAAATTTTGTATTAATCATCTGATGTTGTCAAATAGTTAAAATGATACAACACACTTAAACACCACTCTGTATTTCAAATTCCAAATATATTTTTTGTTTGCTACTTCTGTAAGATTAGAATTAGCAGACATAATAAAGCTGATGTGATGTAGGCTCAATACGAATGACGCTATTATTATTTGTTAATATTAATTATTGCTATTTAATTTTCCTTTGGGATCTAATTTTGTGAATGGGTCTCTATAGTTAGGAGAGAATCCACCGGCCAGAACCTGAGCTGTGCGTTTCTGCATGCAGGTCTCTTTCAGGTCGTATAGTTGGAGGGGTATGGTGGTTTTTCACTCTGATCATTATCTCATCATACACGGCCAACCTGGCTGCCTTCTTGACGGTGGAGAGAATGGTTTCTCCCATTGAGAGTGCTGAGGATCTCGCCAAGCAGACAGAGATTGCTTATGGGACGCTGGACTCCGGGTCAACCAAAGAATTTTTCAGGGTAAGGTATTCTCCAACAACAAACGATGGCTGTTCTTCCTAAAGGTGAATAATAACTATGTTTCCATGATACATGAGGAATGACTGGCAGGAAGAAACCTTAATCACATCTCACCATTCATCATTTTAATCATTTTTACATGTTTGTCACAATTTTAACATTTGTAAGATACTTAAAAACCAACTTTTAATAAAAATATGTATGTGAAATTCACATTTTGCACGTTTTTATGCTTCCATTTGGGTCTCAGCTGTTTCTAAAACCACCCAGCCATTTTTTGGAAATAAGTTCATGTTTTTTGAGGCTTGGAAATTAGTTGTTTCAACCCCACCTCGATTATTAAGTAACATTTGACAGGCACTGCACCGTTGCTAGGTAACGGTGCAGTGCCCAGCCCGTCGCCTAGCAACCCAAGAGGAGCTCCAGCATGTTAGCCAAAGACAAAAGAGAAATCCTACAACCACTAAAATCTGACTCCAGTGCATTTATTTACATCTTGTGGAGAAGGAAGTTGCGCTCAGTGTCTTCTTTGGAAGATTTTTTTATGTTGCTTCCTTCAGTGGTTCTTGGTGCAGCGCCACCACAGGTGAGATAGGGAACAGGTTTTTCAAATGGTTTGGTTTGTTTGGCACAGTGCAGTGTGAAGGCGAACCGCACCAGATGAAGATGTAACAAGTGTTGCAATTTTGGTCCCCAATTGAACAAGACTTCACAAACTTGTGAAGTTTCCTTCATTTGTGAAGGAAACTTCACAAATGAAGGAAACTTCACACTTAATTTGTGTGAAGGAAACAAATGAAGTTTCTGTCTAGCAAGCCTTTCCTGTCCTGAAATAACAACAACCAAGACAAAACTAAATGAATTTATTTGTCTCTCTTTTTTTAGCGCTCTAAAATCGCTTTGTTTGACAAGATGTGGCAGTACATGAAATCCGCAGAGCCTTCTGTGTTTGTCAAGAAGACGTCGGAGGGCGTGCAGCGTGTGAGGAAGTCCAAAGGGAAGTACGCCTACCTGCTGGAGTCCACCATGAACGAGTACATCGAGCAGAGGAAGCCCTGCGACACCATGAAAGTGGGAGGAAACCTGGACTCCAAAGGCTACGGGATTGCCACGCCCAAACAATCCCCATTAAGGTGGGTGGATCAGTATAACAATGCCAGCCAACCTGCACTGCCATGTACCATTCACACTACTAACCTGCTGCCTAGCATACTGTTTCCCTCCGCGCTCCCGCAGTTCCTTTCTCCACGAGAAAAGGAACAATCCAAATACACTGACTGCTCACCTGCCAGAGACGTCAGGTGTTAACTAGCCAGTGTGTGAGCTGCTGCTGCTGCTGCTGCTGCTGCTGCTGCTGCGTTCACCTGCAGCGATGCTCATAAACAAAAGAAAGCACACCCCGGGGAGCGCTTATTTTAGTCCCAAGCCTTAGAGCCAGTTGGGTTTTTGCAGTATGCGAGTGTGATGAATGGGGCATGGCAGCTCACTACTCGTTGTTATAATAATCCACCTACCCTGATGACATCATCCCAGTGGTTTGTATTTTTACTGTGGTTGCCACCTCTGACCCCTGGTGGGGGTGGTTACCGTGACAACAGGGGTGGGGAGGGGGGTGTACGGTTTGTTTCAGACACCAGGTCTTAAAGTGAGCCGATACGATCAGGAATGTAAAATAGTCACCGAATGTCCTTATTTGCATCACCAACACCTTAAAATCCACGACTAAATATAACTACATTATGATATCTACAGATATGTTAGTACTTTTTAGAATAAATGTAATATTCCCAAGTATTTGACTGGTACAAAAGGAATACTGATGTTGTCCTGCAGTATTCCTGGAACAATAAGACAGAAACTATAAGTTTATGAAGTTAAATAAATATTATTATTTATGAAATATGCCCTTTAAGACCTGAATCAGGGGATTGTTGTTGTCTATGACTGTATGACCAAAACATTTGTTTGTTTGTGAATGTGTGTTTTTAATCACCCTGAAGGTCACAGCAGATGTTTTACTACTTTATAACATAATTTATTAGATTTTCTTGACCAATAATGATGCTTTCTAACCCAAATTTCTCATATCTTCTACTTACAATTGCTTATTTTGTGTTTCTATGATCCCAGAGCAGAGAATGTTGCCGCAGTTTATCTAAGAAAGGGTTGAACTTAAACCACAGACAGATCCTGTGTAAATAGTAAGACATATACTGATCTGACATTTTATTAGGTACAGCTGGATGGAACTGAGTTGGAGAACCTTTGACCTCCAGCTTGCCTTAATTCTTTGTGGCATTGTTTTAACAAAAGGTTTTGGTCCATATTTTGGGCTTTAAATTAACTTTTTTCACTGACACCAGCACAAAAACTTGGTGCACTCAATTTTCAACTGCATTGCATTTACCCCTGTTCTATCGTATCAAAAAGTACAAAATTTGTGGGAAAAATTACAAAATTCACTGATTAAAGGCCTAGATTTATGGGATTAAGCCTAAGATGTTTTCTGACATTGTAAACTTATGAATATGTCAGAGAAGACCCTACTTTTAATATAAATTTATGCCTTTAATCATGGAACATTTCTGACTTTTTCACATCAGAAAAAATTCCAAGTTTTTTCTTGTAAATATGTGAAATTAATCTCCAAAATTCTGCATTTTTTGGCATAAACCTACATAATACATATGGTTGTTGTTCAAGCTGTCTCATATTAACAACTGGTTAATGTGGTTCTACGTATTCTTGCCTGATCAGTTTCATTTAGAGATTTTACATCTATGCAGAAATGACAGCGTAATTTGAATATGCAATTTATTTCTCAATGATGAATCAGTAGGTTGAATCGATGGATGGGCTGATAGAAAAATGAATGATTAAGCATGCGTATTTGTCTGTGTTGCATGTTTGTCACTCATGTTGTTTCTTATTTCTTTGTCTTTTCAGCAAGCTGCCAATAGCTGTATGGTTTTCTGCTCCATGCTCTCTCTCTCTCTCTCTCTCTCTCTCTCTCTCTCTTCGTCTCTCTCTCTCTCTCTTTCTCTCTCTCTCCTTCTCTTT